AATTATTTTGTCCACTTCTGGCAAAACTGACGCCTTATTTGTCACTAAAACACGTGTTTTGTGGCGAAGAAGTCCTTTCGGACCAATTGTTTGGTCAAATAGATGTCGTCCGACGTGTGGGTCGACAGCACTCAACGGATCGTCCAATAGATATATGTCTGCCGAGGAATAGACAGCCCTCGCGAGTGAAACCCTCTGTTTCTGACCGCCGGACAAATTGATCCCTTTTTCTCCGATTTCTGTCATATCTTCGGCCGAAAAGATCGACAAATCGGGTCTTAAAGCACACGAATCGAGAACTTTGTTATAAAACTTTTCATTCAATTTATTGTTAAACAGAATATTCTGTCGAAGAGTTGTGTTTTGAATCCACGCCTGTTGTGGACAATAAGCTGTCCGTCCGCTCACATTCACAGAGCCCTCACTTTTGTCCATATCTGCCAATAAAGCCGATAATAGGGACGACTTGCCGGCGCCCACACGACCCACAACTGCCACCAATGACTGACTCTCTATCTCTATATTGATATTCTTGAGCACAGAATCGTCGCAATTGTTATCCCATTTGAATGAACTGTTTTTGACGACAATAGGAGTCCTTTGATTGGGTTTGTGGTCAACGAAACTCTCATTCACTTCATTAGCGTTTAAATATTTATTCAGTTTTGTAATGATTATCAAAACCTATTTTAAATGAATAAATTAAACATAAAATAATAATTAAATTTTATGTAAATGATATTGTTTTGCTATTCATGTCATGTTCACAAACCTTTTGGCCGGTTAACAATGCACGAGGTAAGATTAGAAATTGAGCCCCTAGATGCAATATTTATGATGTTTTATTATAGTAATGGGTATTATCTGTAAAATCTCAAACCTATTATAGTGAACAGCGATAGGGAGACAAAAGACTTATTTGGGTCCAAAATATTGTGGTCAGAGATTAGCGTAAATGTTGTAAAACTAAGTATTGATACCTATATATCGAAGTAAAAAATAATTAAATGCAAATTATAATCTTTAAAAACACTACAAAACATACAACAATTTTTTCAGTGTTTAATATACAAGAAGTCCAAATTGTAAACCTTAAGAACTGGTCCAACATTTTTACTTCCCTATCCCTAAGGGCCGACACCTTATCCATAAAACACTGTTCCCACGCGTATAACTTCAACGCTTTTATGTGGTTTAATATCTCGGTAATAACGGACACTCGACGGGCGGTCAGCTTTTGTAGCTCAGCCAAAAGGCGGCTCTTAATTGTAGTTCTGTAGGTATTGATGGGCACAATAATTACGATAATGATCACACCCACCAGACTGGCCGCACCCAACTGTGCCCACAACAAGCCGATCGATACTATCAATTTGAGCGGACTCGACCATATTATGTCGTATAGCGTTAGGAAAAGCGTGATAAACGTCATGTCTTTGGATACCATGTTTACCAGATCACCGGCGGTGGTGTGTTTGCGGCCATCGGTCGACAGTTTTACTGTCTGTTAAGTAACATAGTTTGGTTAGTATTAAATATTTGAATTAAATGACCAACTTTTTCATATAATATAGACGTAATCGATGTCCGGATACGCATTCCCATCACATCAGACCAGTAGCCGTGCTGTGCGTCCAGCACTGAGGCCAACACCGGACACATAAATAATAACAGCGCATAACTATAGCCGACCCAATCGGGTTCGGTTGCGGTCACTGTGGGGCCACTGGCAGTCAAAAACCCGATCAATCGGTCGAGTATTACGGGTTGCGAGAGTGTAAGTAGAGTTGACAACAGTTTTAACAACGAATTAAGCGCTAAACTCGGACCGTATGTCTTTAGAATTGGACCCAATATATTGACCGACCCGTTCACCTTGTTTTCCGTCACTGGGCGCCAGTGTTTGTTGAATTGTTGAACACAATCATCGGCCGTATTGTGGGCCTCCAGTGGCCACATGTCTTCAGCGGTCAGTGTGTTTCGATAGCCATTCATAATCATTGGCGTAAACCATGAAAATGTCAGCCGAGATATAAATGAGGCGTCAGTTTTGGGACATTTCTGGTCATTAAACAAATTATTACTTTATTGTATATCTATAATCAATGATTAATTAGATAAAAGTAAACATAGTAAATGTTTTTATCAATATTTACACGTTTGTTGTCAACGGATGTAATCACTTGTCGTTGTGTAGAGTCCGCAAAATATGAGACAAATAATTGAATTATAACTATTGTAAATGAAATTGAATTTGCGGTAAATGTGAAGATTTTGATGTCGTTTAAAAAGTCTAATGTCGGCCACTGTTTCCCCGAAGAGATTGTGAAAGCGGTTCCCATCAATAAAAACAACCAAAATCTGAGCAAAACATGTGAATTGAGACCACATTTCAACGAATTAGTCGACAAAATAATTATATAAATCTATGATTAAAATAAAAATTCAATTATTTAATTAAATAAATCAAATATTAATTACTTATACTTACAAAAGTGAAACATTTAGCAATCAGTGTAATTATTTTGGCAACTTCTTCAACATTGAATTCATTAATTGTGTTCTCGAATGTATTTAACAGTTGATTAAAACTTAACGCTAATAATACTGTTGTTAACGTCTGATAATAGATATTTAATGATTTTAAAAATTAGTAATAATTTCAATCATTAATAACAAGATTTATGAATCAAAAGTATGTAAAAATAGCAAAAAGTTAATAACAATTTTCATACAGTTTTTGTGATTGTTATTAGAGTCCATGGAATGTGATGTTGAGTTATTTTAGTTGGTATCCATGGCTTACTATAACTGTTATAAAGTAACATGGACATTGGTATAATAACCATGGGCAATTCTGTATACAAATCGTTGTACATCATGAGATATTCGTTTGTTATGATGAAGTTAGAAATTAGATTTTTATAATTTAAATCGATAAGATCGACATTTTTTAAATTAAAAATTCCCGTATGTTTTATAGCAATAAACTATAAATAGCAATTAGTAAACATAATTGTAATTATATTGTTATTAAACAAAATGAAATACTCACTGATTTTATTGAGTACTCTATTAATTATCATACGAAGTGTACGGCAGTTGACTGGAGTGGTGGCCGACACATAGCTATACGGCAACATCCATATCATCGCACCGGGTAGTGTGTACGGTATGAATAACACTAATATCCAGTTTACATCTATTATATACTTAATTACATAATATGTTTATTATCAACACAAACTAATATTAGAAATTTATTTATTTAATTTACTTTGATAAAATTTAATAAGAATTTTAATAAAATTTAAAAATTGAATGTATTTAACGCACACTTAATTATTTGTGTGAAGGCGCAGACTTGTGCCGAACCGCAAGTGATGCTCACATTGAATGAAGAGTTGATTCGGTGCACGCCTTAATCCCTGATCTCTATCGGCGCTAATCACGTCAATCGATGTTACCATATAGTTGTCAATTAGCGCACGTCTTCCACTTCGTCACAGCCCAACCACTTGACACATACCAACAATTTGGTGATTCAACTAAAGTCCGTCGCGCTTAACGACGATCGCAATCATTCGTCGGTCTCGTCCATCGGCTCAAACAAAAACACATCCGCTTTTTATCATCCGAACGAAACGATGTTTATATAAACATTATTAAATTTAGTACTTGAATTGGTGCCATTTATACGCAACCCCACCACTACAACAACCAGCCAGTGGTCGCTTAATACTATGGTATACTCTATTATATTAAACGAATTAAACTGCCTGCTCATCACCGGTTGTGAATATGTGAGTTTGTTAGTGAATGAGTGAGAGAGAACGAGAGAGATCACATATCTAATAGTTCATTATTGTTACGTAAATATGAATGTTAGTTTTGTCATTATAATTACATTATGTTTACATGTTTACATATGGATATCTATCAAGAAAGTTCATAAGGGGTTTAATTTTTAATCATTAGTAATGATGATTATGATAGTAATGATTATAGACAGTAAAAAAACGCGATCTAGAGCTTTCTTCACAGAAAAAACTTGACTTTAGATAAAGTAATGTTTGATTCATTGTTTTGAACACAACTTTAATATTTGTAACAATGAATTAAAAATGAATTTTCATAAACCT